CGCGCCGCCGGCCCCGGGCGCCTGAGGCGAGGCTGGTCGCAGCGCGGGAAGGCGCCGGCGCCGGTGGAGAGGCCGGAGGCGTCTGCCCTGCGTCTGTAGCGCTTTCCAACCCAACGTGTCCGGGGCTAGTGCTGGCCTTCCCCTGCTGGCGGGACGCTGAGGGGTGGTTCAGCGGAGAGCCCGGAAAACGGCCAAGCGATTGGTAAATGAAATGTCCACAACAGTACTGGAAGGGTTTAGGGTTACGCCAGCAGTACCTGGCACGCGTCGTTAGGGGTTGGAAAGAACTAGAATGGGAATCTAGACCCAACTGTGCAAAAAAAGTTCCTGATAATCCTGTCCCATATGTCTGTATTGCCACTCAAACTTTATTTCCATTTATCTTAAAAATAGGGACGTGAAAGTTTGTAACTGCACAGTAAAGCTGTGAGCACCTTCAAAATTAACTTAAGACTTACACGGAAGTACATACCTCCCTCGAAGGGTTTTAATTCAGAGCGGTGGGTGTTGGGGTTAGTAATCGTACATAACAGGAGGCAATGGAAGTCCTGTGACTCGCTGTTGAGAAGTCTGCTGAAAGCAGAAAAAAAAAATTTTCTCCTCCTGAACATCTGGAAAAAAAATTAAAAATCGAGAAATTGACCCCTGTGAGTGCTGAAATCCTGAAGAAGCTGGTGACTGGACTCCTGTTAAGTAAATTAACACTGGCTTCAGCACAGCATGCTTTGTTAAATCCTTTTTTCTTCCCCTATGTGTCCAACTTGAAATTTAAGGTAATTTTATCTATCATTTTTAATTTGCTTGAGGCGTTATTAATTGATCTCATCTAAATGTACTTGACAAGTCAAAAGTAAAAAGTTCATCTTGTAAATGAAAAATCCATATGATTTGCAGAAGTCCCCTCCATATGAACGTGGAATAGTTTTCCTCTGAAGCGGGAGATCAGATGCCTTGGAGTGCTTATGTGAGTTTGCACAAGGCCTGAGATTCTTGAAAGAGGTAAGTGCCACCCTTTGAGATCACCTGGCAGGGTTTGGGTCTCACTGTTACTTGCATGCCTGTGGAGACTGTAACTAAGGCGATCTGGATTTGGTAGCAGAAGGGTACAGGAGTTGTTCCAGTTATAAATTTTACAGTTAGAACAATTGTTACAAATCCAGTTAAAAATTTTACGTGCTGTTTTTCTAAAACACTACAGACCTAAAATAAATAAAATAGGGGCTATTTTATTAGAGTGAGTTCCATATTCATAAGCATCCGATATAGGAGGTACACATACAATCAACAACAGACAAAAGTAAAAAAAAAAACCCCTTAGATTGCTGCAAAACAGCTTATCAAAATTGGTCATGTTAATAGTTCTGGTTGTGATTTTAAATAGAGTTTTAGAACAGTCGGAGATTGTGGCCATTCTATCTAAGTGTCTTTGTTATTGGTGGTGAGAAAAGGTCCAGAAAGATGACCTGGAGCTGTATGTATACAAACAACATAAGCAATATACATGTTGCAACATATGTTAGATTTGTGTTCCAGAACTCACACATTTTAAACTTTTTTTTTCAAAGCATGAAAAAATTATAATGTAAAATAATATTAATTCCAGTACAGTGACAGCAAACTCTTGAACTTCACCCTTCCTGAACTTAAGTCCCTTTGTGATTTTTTTAGGCAGGGAGGAGTATTTTTCCCCCTCAGAATGCGTTACATAAATGTTGGTTTTATGAATACGACCTCAACAATCAAGATGACCTTGGAACTTTTTTATTATTATTTTTATCTCCTTTGGAAGGTCTAACCGGCTGGACTTTCCCCCTTTCTCCCTACATTCCCTGACATCTCAGCTCGTGGGAAATGCTGTCTGGAGGCACAGGCACAGCGAGTAACAGCGCGGAGGCACATGGAGCGCTGAGGATAAACCACCCGCTTGTTCTGAGCGAGCAGCGTCCATCGCAAGGGTCTTGTGAACAAGTAAGCTAAGGACTTCTCAGGTTGCGTTCTGCGGGCGCAGGGAGCTCTCAGAAGGTACGCAGACGACACTGGTTCCTCCGTTTTCTTATTTAACCTAGCTGGGTGCAGGACTTTGCCGTTTCAATGGCCCTCGCTTAAGCCAGCGCCAGCAGACTCCGCGCCCCGCCGGCGCACACGCGGGGCCGAAAGGCGGGGCCGCGGCTTTGGCCTGCCGGCAGCTGGGCCGTGCCCGCCGCCCGCCCCGCAGG